GGGGCCACCACCCCCCCTCCCCCCATGGTGCAGGGAAACTCCGCTCGTGCCTGCCCCAGGGCCGAAACACCCTTCTTCCCTCCCGTGCGCGCCTGCCCTGGGGCCCACACACACTCCCTCCCACCCCCCCGGCAGCACAGGGAAACCCCACGTGCATCTGCCCCCAGGACAACTCATGCCTCCTGCACCAGTGCAGGAAATTCACCATGCTCCTCTTCCGGAGCCAGGGCCCCCTCCCGCAGTGCACCTGGCAAAGCAGCCAGCGCACTTCTGGAACTCCCGGAAGTGGCGCTAAGCTGCGGGACTTCTGTCCACCCGCGGGAAGCCAGCACTACCTCCATTTTCACTGGAGGTAAGTACTGGGGCTTCTCAGGGGTGGGTGGAAAATGGGGGTAGGGGGAGAGTCCGGACGCCTCGCGATTGACTGGTTGAGGCCTTGCGATCGACCAGTCGATCGCGATAGACCTGTTGGTGATCACGGATCTAGATGGTGCTTGGTCCTGCCGTGAGGTCCCTTCCAGTTCTAGTATAGTATTCTATAAAATCTGCAGGATCTTTCTCTGTTCTGGTCCCTAGTTCCTTTTGCTCCTCTCCATTCCCCACCCACTGAGACACTCAAACCACTAGGACCCACCTGGTCTGGCTGCCAGGACGAGTCAACAGAAGGCCTCTGCATTTAGGCTCCATCAAACACACTCAGAAAAAGTCTCAGTAAAAGAGCCAAGGAAAAGTCCTACCTTTCACTAGCTTTGGTTCCACTAGTCAGTCCATAGCTTGCAGCTGACATACACTTTGTGACAGATGTGCTTTTCTCTGTGTAAACAGCAAGAGAAACAAGATGCATCAACGTTGAAAGTATTTTCTCTCCTTCCCCCACATGTTTTTAATCTATTTCCTGACATGTGGCTGCACATTTATTCTTACTCACAGCAATGAAAAGTTGCAGATTTCGCTATGAAAGACCTGTGCCAGCATGAGCTAATGATCTCCTGCAGAGAGATTCTCCCCACTGTCCCAGGCATTAGACCCTACTACAATCGCACAGAAGGAAGAGGCCACAGGACAATTTCCCTGCTGCAGACAATGTATTGGAACTAGACAGGCAGGCCTATACTGGCCCTCTCTCAGCTCCAGAGCACAGTGCATGCTGGAGATGGAGCCAGGGCATGCCAGGGTCTAGATCACAGACTGCTATGGTCATTCTGGCAAACCATAACCTGCCCTGAGGAGGCTGACAGGATTTAAAGCAGACCCCTCCAAGTCACTTTCGTCCTACCAAGGGCTATTTCAGCCCCCAAAGCAACCCGAGTTCATCAGGGTGCAAAGGTGGCTTTTGGCCAGCTATGCCCCTGTCTCTCCCGGCATTGCCACTTCTGTGTCATGCCCTCTGCAGGCACAGCACAGGGTCTGCGCCCACTTCAGAACTTGTGCTCAGGAATGAAGCGCAGGCTCCCCCCAGCATTAATGCTCTAAAGGGCTAGTTCTCTTCTCACATGGGCTTCACCTGTGTGTAGCTCCCCTGATCTGATTACTCACCGGTACTGTAAAGCAGCGTTTCCCAAACTATGGGCCGCAGCCCGCTACCGGGCCACGGGAAAAAAATACCAGGCCTCAGCGTGACTGCCAGGGTGTTCTGGGCTCCCGGACTGCCCGTGCAGCGCCGGGTTCCCCAAGCCCTCAGCCGGGCTGGGCGGATGCAGCCGTATGTTTCAGACTCCCGGCAGAGGCATAGTGAGGGTTACCAGGTGAGCTCTTATTGCTGGCTGTGGAGGGAGGAGAGGGGGTTGGATATGGGAAGCAGGGTTGGGGCAGTGGAGCTGCCCGGGGGAGATAGGAAGGGGAACCAGCTGGCGGAAGCAGGGCTGGCCGGGGGGCAGAAGCAGTGGGGCTGGGCAGGGGAGATCACGGGGCTGGCTGGGGAACCAGCGAGTGGAAGGCAAG